GACAGTAAGATCTTGGATGGATCTTATAGTATGACTTAGTATAAGATTGCATGAACCACGATTTTTTGTACGATTTTTGTAAGATTTCGTATGATCAACAAGATCTTATGTCCGATTTTTTTACCTGGGTGATTTGATTCGACTAAACCTTCAAAACACCGTTGTCTGGCCAAAATCAAAAAACATCTGAATTTGCCATACCTTAGGACTCCACGGCAAATGTCTGAGTATGCAGGCTTGATGTTTTATTTTCATTCTGAACCACACCCACATCCACAATACCTTTAGTATTATACATATTTCATCAAATTTTATTATTTAGCATAAACACACTAAAATGCCACGGGAAACAAAAGACATCCTCAAAGATCTTTGCAGCTTTAGTCTGTCAACAGCTGATCCAATGGACCGTCTGCCGCACGATTGTTATATGATCTTAGTTGGTCGTTTAAGATCTAAAGGACATCTTAACAAGCTTTTTGAAATGAATGAATCACAAGGAATTACCTCCGGTGGAGATGATGACCCAAATCAGGCTGAATATGCAGTATTGACGTCCGAAGAAGTCGAGTCTATTCTCGAACATGTAGTTTTAGAAGGCAGTACTGAGCAGCTAGAGAGGCAACGCAAAAGTCATTTTGTCTTTGAAGATAGTTTTAACACGTCAGTGCTTAATATGGTCGACACAAGCTCATCGTATGAAAAGCTTAAGAGAATTTGTCGCATATATGAAATTCGTGAGGGCGTTAATGTCGATAAAGTGATGGCTGAGCATGAGAACCGTGTGGAGAAATCCTATTCGCATTTTACCGAAAAAAATTTACCGAGTGATGAGGCTAAAGCTCTGGCTTTGAGCTTATCTTTTTACACAGGTACAAGGAGCGAAGCATGTAACCGTGGTGCCAGTCTGATTGCTCGAAAAAGTAATGGACAAGTTCTTGATAAAGATGTAGAGAAAGAAATCAATGAAGCAGCTATTATTCTGTATTACATGGTAAAAGCGCTCTCTTACATACCATTTTACTGGGGATATGTTACTAGAGCTTGTCAACTTACGAATGATGAATTGAATCTCTACGTACCCGGTAATTTGATTACTTGGATTCAATTTAGTAGTTCGAAAAAAGGAAAAAAAGTGGTGGATTCAGACGCCTTCAAATATAGAAACACGCTTTTCAAAATATTTTCATTGACGGGTCGTCCCATCAAAGAATTCTCGAATTTTCCAGAAGAAGATGAAGTTCTATTTCTACCTCATTCTACATTTCTTGTTTTCAACCGTAAAGTACACTATGAAGGTGGAGGAAAGCAAGTTATTTACATGCGACAAGTTGAACTTGGACTTTGCAAATGGTCAGTGCTGTGGGTAGATGATAAGATATTTGATGAAGGTTGGGAGAACAAGAAACATATGGAGTACGCAGCTGTCAAAGCGCTTGATTTAAACGTTCATTTTATTCCGAAGTCATCGACTGAAAGTGCTCTATCCTTTCTAAGATCTGCATTTGGGCAGCGTTTGAAAAGCAAAGAAACATTTCGCATTGTTACAGATATGAATCGTGAGAATGAGGAACTATCGCAAAACGCCGGTGCTCGACTAATCAAAGAAATAAGGCAGATGGGCTTCAGAAACAAATGCCTAGTTTTTACCAGTAGCAAGAAGGATGCCCAAAGAATTATTGAAAGAGAACTTGATTCAAGAGAACAACAACTTGTTGCGGTGTCTACTGCTACTGAAGACTTGAGGGACTTTGTGAATTTTGATCAAAAAATTATCAAAACTCAGCAGCCAAATGATGCAACACATTATAAAAAAAATGCTTCACTCCAGTACACAACTAGTAAGCTGAAACGGTTACTGAAAAATATTATTAACACTTAACAAGGTCAGAGATGTCAAAGTAAAACAGCACGACCCCATTAAGCTTTAGAGGCATGACAGAAGTTCTAAAAACAAGAATTGAGGATTCTATGCGATATAATGTATGTTCACTATAATCGATATGCTAATTCTTATCAGAATTGTGTCAGTAGATACAGATTCACCTAAAATTTTGCCCTAAAAGCTAGCCCGGTCAACTGCCGGTAGACCGGCCTGTGCGGTCCGGTCTGACCTTTTCATACCGGTTCCATCTCTGGTTGGCTTCCCAACACAATTTAATAAAATTCAGTTATGACAGGAGCATTGATGTACAAGAAATAAAGGTAGATATCGGTCTGTTCCCGACGCGTTAAGTTTTCAAGCAGAGACGGTGCCGGCTGAGGTATTTTTCGAATTATCAATGGGAAATTGCCGTAGTCCGCTCAGGACCATGAAAAAATTTCAAAGTTCAAATTTGCAGTTGGAACTTTGTCTATGTTAAGCACTCAATGAGAATAGTTAATGCTAAAAATTTCAGATCTTTTGGTCTTATTCTAGCTGCAATACGGATATGAAAAACATTAGAAATATTCTATGCGCTATCCTATCATATGTTACTAAAATAAATGATTCGCCATTTTTCACAGATTAATTCAAATGAGCTGAAACGTCTACATTAGGGGTTTTTCGGCATGGATTTTCGCCGAAACACTTAAGTTAATCGTTTCGAAACAAGTCACCAATCTTTATAGTGAGAATCAGGCTCTAAATTTGATCTTTTGAGTCTTGTTTAAAAAATTGTTGATACCGAAGTTCAAAATTCCTAATTTTTGAAAGTATTACTTGATGTATTTTAACGCGCTCTTTCAAATAAGACCAGTCTAATTGTCCAATTTATGTGAGAATGCTTTCTAAAAATGCTATATAATACCAAGTAAAATTCCTCTAAAAAAGCTGTTAGCGCAATCCCTTACGGGATTAAAAATGTGAAACACGATGGATCTGTTGTTACTAACTAAATGGAAATCGTTTTGTTCCATTTCTTTGCGATACATTTGTAGCT